AGAGAGAGAGAGAGACTGTTATGCTACATAGTGAGAGAGAGGAAGAGTCTGTTATGCTACATAGTAATTAAAAGTTCGAAAGACATCCTGTTTTTTATAGAGATTGGGGGAGGTCTTTCTGCTCTCTAGCACTTACAGTGGAACCATATCAGATGATGGATCAGTTGATGTAATCAGATTAAAGATGCTTCTTTTTATGATTTATTACTTAATTAAATACATTAAACACCATCATTTAGGATTATACTGGCAGAGAGAATGGAGTTTTCAAACTCTTTAAATTGTTCTTTATGGCTTTAATTTGCATGAGACTTATTCATGATTGATGTTTATAGGCTGGAATCTATGCTTTCTATTATGCTGTTGTAGTCATTCTTAACTTTTCCATGCACACGTCCTTCAATAGTGATGTTTGGAGCTTCGGCATATAGGTTCCCTTGATCATTTAGGATTATAAAAACCCTTTTTATTTTAATGTTATTATATATTGAGCAGATATAATTATCTTCTAGTTTTTACAAAATTTGAATCTCTTTTGCATCTTGTATATTGATGCGATTACTGATCATCTCTTTGCCCATATACCAATTTACATAGAGAACCCATGAATAGATGCAGTTTGTTGCTAAGGGATTCAACCTCTTTCAGACTGTCGTCTTGCTCAAAATCCACAACACCCGTTCCAACAATAAGTGCAGCTTTCAATGGTTCACTCCAAATGTCGAGATAAATTACTCTGTTTCACTTTCTTTGGAAGTTGAATTGTACTTTTTAGTTTTAATGGATCCTGTTCCTATGTTGAGAAGAATTTTGTTGTAAAGTTGGTTTTGGATTTTTTTTTTTGGGGTGGTTGGGTCGGAAGGGGGGGGGGGAGTTCATTTTGCTACATAATAGTTTAAACTAATCCTGTTTTTGATAGAGATTGGGGAATATTAATCTGTTCTGTTTTCATTGAAAGAGGAAAAGCTCTGTTTTGAATTGTCTTTAAGAAAGTGAGAGGGAGGGTGTAGAGTGGTTTTAGAGAGGGAGACAGGATGAGCTTTATAGGTCCTTACATTTGAGAGTCTAAGGATTTATAGGTCCTTACATTTGAGAATCTAAGGAAGAGCTTAATAGCCTTGTGTTAGCGAAAAAAGGGAGAACTTAGTCGATCATGTCGTAGACAGAGAGACAGATCAGAATAAGCTAATAGTGAGCATTCCCTCCTCCATTTTAGCTTCTCATTATCTTCATTTAATTACAAAATAATTTGTTTTTTCGTTGTATCCAATGATGTAATGAGTTTGAACACAAAATAGATGACAACACCTCTCTCTGTCTCTCTCCTTGCCAATAAAATTCCATTTCACAGCATCGCAACGTGCGATGCACGTGATTCTGCTAGTATATGTAAAATGTTAAATAGTTGAACTTGTGTCATATGGATAAATTTTGCAAAAAGGCTTACAGAAAAGCTAGAAGCGAGCATTTCTCTTTCTACACACTCTCTCTCTCTCTCTCTCTCTCTAAATCATTCGTGTACAGGGTTTTTGCTTGCATTAAGGGGGAAAGGGAGCGAGAGGATGTTGAAGTTCTTGTCCAAGGTGAAGATCGAGTTCAATCCATTGGACACAGGCAGAACGGCAGCTTGCCTCGAATTCTTGGCTCAGTGCAATGCTCGCAGGGCACGTGACTCTAATCCGGGGTGCCAAATCACTGTTAAGAGGCGCACCGACAACTTCGACCCTCAGATCACTGTGACATTTGTTAATGGCACTGAAGAGGTAATCGATGCCGCTTCCACTCCTGCCCAGGACATTAGAGAAAAGATATTGGCCAAGGGAAGGATGTTAGAGACTGAGCAGATGTTTCGAGAGGCTGGTGAGGCATGGCCTGTCATGATTCCTGAAGCTGAACGCAAGGAGCCTGTTATTATGGGATACAAGGTTAGGACTCTGTGTGTGTGTGGTATGTTTAAATTTTTATTATCTGGTTTGTTTTGCTGAGGGGTTTGAGCTTGTCCTTTTGTCGAATTTGGCATGGAAGTGAGTCTAGTTGAGGTCTTTGGTTACCTGATTTTGATATTTTTATGTAATGTTTAAACCAAGGTTCTCAGAATTCTCAATGTCATGGTCAAAGGGCCTATATAATGGTTATTGGCTGTCACAGTCATTGGCCATTAAAGCATGTAATGTTTGATATCTGAAGTCAACTGGTATTATGCTTTATGACGGCCATTTTAATGGCCCCTAGTCGTTATAAGGGGTTATATGAGATTTTTGAACCTTGGTTTATACTTTCGATTGGTATTTTATGCTATTTGGTTAAATTCTCTTTGCATGTTTATTTGTGGCATCGATGCCTATAATGATGGATTACTATGTTGGTTTGCGATTTGTTCGTCTCTCTTTTTTTTTTTTTTAGGGTTTGTGAATTGAAAATATGCGTAGAAATGTACTGCAAATCATGTGGATATGCTTCCTTGATGTGTCTTCTAATCTGCATGATAAATGCTGCTCTACTTGTATTAATCATGAATATAATTGTTATTGACGTTAATTTTAAGGGTTATGCATTATATTTTATCTAGATATTGTTGATGAATGGTTCATCAATAATTTCACTAATTTTCATGTTCAATTTGCGATGTCTAGTTATCACTAATTCTCATAAATTTTTGTTCTAGTGACTCAGATTTCTTTATGCATGGATCTCTATATCTATGGTACCTTTTCAATGTAGTAAGTTAGGCTTAGCCTTTTTGCTCAAAGACCGGGGCATCTCTTATTTGATTGATGAACGTTAGGAATGAACATCTATTGCATCTCTCTTGTATTTATTTTTATGTTTTTATACTACTCACCAATGTCAGGTGGTGATTCGGCCAAGCATTTTTGTATGGGATTTTATTGGGAACCAATCTATGAGCCAAATCGCATGTTTAATTACTTACCATGCAATTGACATTTTTCAAAATTTTCTGTAGTGTGAACTCTTGTCTAGATCCTTTCTATAGTTTCCGTAGTATGAAGGGTGTTTGCAACATATTCAAATGTTGAAATCTACTGCCTTGGACGTATTATAGACTTCCCATCCCATGATAAATTTGAAAAGCCCAACATTTCGAAAATGTGACACTCTGGGTATTGTACGCATATTGGTAAGTGTTGCACGTTCTTTTGTACGTCTGTAAGAATTGGAACATATATTTAAAATAACAATATTATAATGTTATCAAACAGATATATTTTGAATATGGGGTGATTTTCGCACTCATGATTCCAATGGTGTTTTGGTTATTTAAACTTTGTTATGTGTTTGTCTTTGTGTATATACATATATATATGCAATACTAATATACTTGCCATCCTAATTATCATTTTCTACCAGCTCTTTGATGTGTTTTTGCATAGCAATAGTGCTAGATTTCCAACTGGCAACATTTGATCAGAAAGCCCTAATGGTGTGATTTCCATGGTCTTTCAGGGTCAAATTTTGACAAAGTTCCACATTTAGAATATGGATGAAAGCATAGATAATCCACTTAGGTCTTTTATGTATTTAGAAATCATAGGTATATCTGGTTTATACATGCTCGACACATGTGAACCTTTTCTCCTCGAAGTTTGAGTCTTTTCCTTACTATTGAAAGATCAAATGTATTGGTGGAAATTGTGCTTATATCTAAGAATAGTTGTTCTGATACTATGAGAAGTTCAATTCTGCCATGATAACAACTTGGGGCTCAAAATATGGGTCAATCTGAGAAACTATCAGGTTTAGTAGTGTATTTCTGTCAAACCCAAAATCTTTTGCTTGAAAGATCATTTTCACTAATTATATTTGCGTGTGCCCCCTTAATATTGTGTATGCTAAGATGGGCAATGTGGTGTAACCTGCTACTGGTTTGCCATGAAGTTCAGGCTTTTTATGGTAACTCAACAGTCTTGGTCTTATTTCTTATTTCTTATTTCTTTTTTGAAGTGATGTTGGTGTGTTTACACCCATACCTGGGGCGAGGGGACTCGAGATCTCTCGACCTTGGTTTGTGCTCTATAGCGTCGTTTAGAGGTAGATTGGGTTCCATCAAATTATGCTATGTGGGGAAATCAACAGAAAAGAGATTCTCTTTGTCGTGGATCACCGGCCATGTTGACTTATGGCTCGTCAAAATCGAAAGAGAATCGTTTGAAAGAAGGTTGTGGGACGGGGGAAATTTTTTAAAAAGTTTACACAAAAAATTATACTAAGCATGCAAGTAAAAGAAAATGAGTGAAAAAAAATGAGCCTTGAAAGTTCAACCTTTCGTTGTTCTCTCTAAATAACCTCATTGACTTTCATCAAACACATTTACACATTTTTACACATGTATATTTACATACTACTCGCTTGTGCCTGGCTAAATCTTATTTTTATTTTTGCAGGCAAGAAAGGCAGAAGAAAAGCAGTAATAATGACATTGATTCCTTTCCACTGCATCCGGCACCCTGCCCCATTTCCCTCCCCCTCCCCCATGCACAGAAAGGGCTTGTTCTTGGGATTTGCCCAACTGTAATATTTGACCGTCAATCCAATTAAATTGAAGATCCGGCTTGCTGCATTTTTTGCTCTCTTCGTAAGCTGTTGAAAAGATGTCCGCTTATATCCAAGAGCATGTAGTTTGGACCATTGAATGAACTGACGGAAAGCATTTTATGCCGAATGCAATATCCTCAAAGAAAGTACTTGTAATATTCTGGCTTTCCAACACATAATAGGGCAAATTTAGAAAATTTTCAACCTTTTTTTGGGGACGTTATCTTATTGATATTAGAATTTAAAAGCATACCTCAAGTGTAAATTGCAATACTTCGATTGTTTTAGTGGTATTGTAAAGCGTTTCAATGCCTTATTTGATTGGAGGGGCATGCATAATTTTCTCAAAGATATGTTCTCTATTTACCCCAAATGCACCCTATCTCACTCTCAAATTAGTGGAATTTGTCCTGAACATTTTTGCATGGCAATCTGATAGATTCTTTCGTTTGACATTTGACATTTGACAGTAAACATTAAGAAAAAGTAGTATGTGCGTCAGGGAACAAACTTCTACAATTGCGTCCCTTGATGTCAAGAAATGATACGACGTTGTCAGTAGTGCATCAAAATACTTTTCTTGTTTTCTAAATTTACTTATTTTATTCAACTTACTACTTATCAGTGTCGATATTATATGTTAGCGAGAGGATTCATTTGAATAGATGCGGCCGACTCATAGGAACCTTGTCCTACAGAATACCAAACTTTATTCTCTCTCCACTACCAAAAACACAAGACCTTTCTCTAAACCCCATTCTCTCTCAAACTAGTTTTTCATCTCTAGTTTTCCTTCCACTAGATACGTCTTTAGGCATCAGTTTATTAAAAATCTATAAGAAAAGAACTATTTAACATTCTACTCAGATGTAATTATTCCAACTAGAAAAATCTATAAGAAATAAACTATTTAACAGTAATTATTTCACCTCTAACTCACGCATTTTTTTAGAGGGATCAAAATATTAATAAGAGATGAATTATTTACTCATCTCATTTACACTCATTTTATGGGTATGTTGCCTTTTGACTGCTCAATATTCCTCCCCATAAAATAAAGCTGGTCTCATAGCTATCTTATAGAACTTGCCATTCGATTTTATTAGTATTGTATGATCACATAAAATTCTGGTTGTATATCTCTATTTTCCACTCAGCTCTAATTCTATATGTGACATCTTCTTCAATCTCTCTATTTTCCTAGATTATCGACTCAATATATCGAAAGTGTGCTCTTCTTGATATTTTATAACGGTCAATTTGAACTACTTTGTCTCTACTCCTATTATTACTAAACTTTCATTCTATATATTATGTTTTAGTCCAGCTAATCTCGATAAAATAATTTCCTAATTGCACTCGATATATACTTGAAAAAATAATGTTTCAAGATTGAACAAATACAGTCCAGTTTCAAAGTGTGAGATCCCAATTTGTGATTTGATATCGGATAACGCCTTCTTGGTAAAAGCTCGCAACCTCTAAGCACAATAGATCTCAATATTTGAAGCAATGGTGGCCTGGTTTATGAGGAAAAAGTTTATATGAGGTTGCAACCTTATATTGTTAAAGTAAGGTGCACCTTAAAACTCTTGAAATTGAGAGTATTTTGGCATAAGAGAATCCTCAAACTGATCATCTCAACCTGGAGATAAATGGGCATAAAGAAAAGAATGAATTTCAAGTCCAAAAAATAATAAATCTTATAATAAGTTATCTGGACCATCTATTTTCATGATTTTCAAGTCTTCATTGATTTGCTAAATTTTTAAAATTTTAAACTTTATAACTGAGGACAAAAAAAGAATTTTTGAAGCCATTGTAAGGTCTTCGATTTTGAAACATCATCTCTAAGTAAATTTTAAAGGTGCGCACTTCTAAAATATAAAGAGGCAAATTTTATAGGTGCGCACTTCTAAAATATAAGTAGGCAACTTTATACAAACCTCACCCGGTTTATAATTCATGTACCGAAGGAGAATATCGATGGAGTTAACATCAGCATAGTCAATTGCTTCCATGATTTCCATTCTCGGCTCATAACCTAAAGGGTAAGAGGCTTCCACGTAAAGCTTGAAAGAGGTGAATTAAAAGTTGAGATACCTAAGGATTCAAAGCCAATGAACATCTACATTTCAGCCAGCATGCGTTGGGATGGGGTTGGATAATAAGGTTAAGGAGAAGTGTTAAAGAATTAAGATGTTGGTGAGGAGGGAGAGACATTGAGATATATAGATATGAAGAAAAAAAAGATATTTCACGTCGTAAAAAATACATCTTGCAACACATTATGAGGACCGTCCATTTTCAATATTCTCCTGCGTGTATATAAGTGAACCTAGACAGCAAAACCAGCTTAGCCTGAAAATTCATGACAATTACAGCGTTATAACGCTCTGCAATCTATAGACAGAAGGAAGAACAAGAAAGCAAACCTGCTGACCTTTTCGCCAATATTGTTTCAAAGAAAACCTAATTTTTGTTGTCAACCTGTGCTACAGAAATGAATCACACATTAAAAATCCATTCGAAAATGTTTTTCTGACGCTAAAATAAACCCTCCTGTAATCTTGAGATGCATGGTTATAAAAGGAAAAAAAAGGAAAAGAAAAAGATTTCCAGTCTTATAAATACACATTTTACACTACATTATCAATCCATTTTTAAAAATTTAAAGTATATATAGATATGTTTGATATGCACCATGTTTGGAACATTAAATTTCAAGCTATTTTAAGAGTTTCTAGCCCCAGAACTACAACATCATCTAAAAGAGTTCTCAGCACAAGAACTTCGTCTTTCGACATGGTTTAGAGGCATGCCTTACTTCGCCGCCACAAGTCTCGTGAAAATTGTGAGACCACACTTGCAGCACCCTTCTTTAATGCTTTCATTCAAAGGAAAAGTTCGTGGAAACAGGATGTGTTTTGAGCACGAGAACACAGCAGCAGCACCCCTCTGTAAATGCTTTTATCCAAAGGAAAAGTTCCTCGAAACATGAGATTGACAAAACCTTCCAGATGAATATGATAAATTATGAAAACAAGTATTCAGAATAACAATTTACTTCTCATGGATTTGCTCTCGTTCCTATCGTTGCCTGTACATGTGAACATGTTTGTAATATTCTTGCTCATCTCTGATCTAGCGAAAACTATGATTACATTATATAGTAAGCTTTACTGATAAGTCGTACGTTACAGTTCAATAATATATATATATATATATGTATTTTACAATCAATGATATGTTGACCGTTGCCATTCAAAAAAAAAATTGAATCAATGATAAGACGTAGTTTACCATTCAAAATTTCAAAAAAAAATTGAATCAATGATTTCTCCAATGCACATCTCATCAATGACATCAAATGTGAAATCAGTCTTCTTACCAAATCATTCATTCATTCATCTACTCTACAAACCCGCTTGAACCAGATATAGCAGGACCATTGAGCTAGTCAAACTCATTCCAGGATTCATCCTGTTATACTTGAGTTCCCTCAAAATGAATAAATCAAATCATGTGAAATAACAATCCTACAACCCAACTATCCATGCCCTCTTAATCTGAGCAATTTTGATCTCATGAAGAAAACCAAGCAAGTATAAGCTCCTGTGGCAGCAACAAAGGATACCCCAATGTAAACACTAACAGTGTTTGCGCATACATACAAATACCTGCAAAGGAAGAGTAACTATCAATAGATGAGCCTAATGCTGCCAAGGAAGAGAGATTCAATAAATGCGCATTTACTTACTTTGGAGAGAACACACTCCACACAAACAAATGGTTTCTCATGAGTAGCAATATGAAGGTGAATGATATCAACACAATGGAGTTCATGACCAAAGGCATGAGACATGCCATTCCAATACTTGACTTTAGAAAAGAACCCATAGGAGCATTTGGCGGCGATGACTTGTGTCTGAAATCCTTCATGGGTAAGAGTATTGTGCTCGGAAGAAACAGCAGCAAAGATGCGTATGTAATGATCAAAGCCAAGATGCCCGAAAGAAATGTTGAGTGCGAAGAGAGGCCCTGGGGAGTAGTAAACAATTGTTAAAGTGTGATAAGTCAAAGAAAGTCCCACAAGCTTTATAAATCACAGAGTACATAGATTCGGCAACAGTAATGTTTGAAAGAGGTTAAAAGAGTTTGGAACTTGGAAAAGCGGGGCACAAAATTGATGGTTAACCATTTTTGGATCGAAATTTTATGACCTTGTTATTTAAGAGAAATATTATTTATGTAACGAAGGTTAAGGACTGAAATTGGGAATTTCATCTGAAATACTTCAAGCTGGCCAAAAACGTTCAATGTAGAAATAGTTTTGCAGAAACTATTATTATTGGTTGAGGTTTCAGGAATACAAGATAGACAAGTCCCCATTTTTGCTAGAACTTGTGATGATCTTATTCCCGAATTGAACTAATTGAGCTTTGTAAAAAGGAAATTTACTATATATGCTCCAGCAACATCAACAGTGGCTAGGGTGTTGCTATTTCCAAGTCCAAAGTGGCCTGTCATTCCCAAAAAGTAAAGGGAAGCAACCTGAAAGATAAGAGATAAATGCACCATCATTTTGAAAGAAACTTGCCATTTAAAGAAAATTAGTATGGTCATTTTAGATGAAATTTGTGCATGCGTCAATAGTGGCAGGTACATCCATTAATTGATGGTAACGAAAAGAAACGAAAAAAAGGAAAAGAAAATGCAACAAGGAATACATTGAAAAATAATAGAAAATTCCAAGAGATTATCTCTGTGCGCAGCACAACAGAGTGTGTATGTGTGTGTGTGTGTGTGAGAGAGAGAGAGAGAGAGACAGAGAGATAGAGAGAGATTAGATTTCAACAAATCAATTATCCAGGCTCAGCAATTCAGCTTGTTCAATCAACACAAAATTAATTATGAAAAATAACCATGTACTTCAAAGAAACATTCCAAAGGATACATTCAAAGAGCAAGTATTCATGGCTAAAGAATAATGTGAAGCATAAGTGCAGCTGACCTCAACCCATTTCTTATGATTTACTGTGGCAATTGAGAAGTAACTCAAGCTGCCTAGGAGTTGCATGAGAAGCAATACCACGGGCACCGCATTAATTGGCTGCTGAAGCAACAACTGAAGAAGACACCAGCAGATAACATATGTACTTCCAACCAAGTATGTACAATTGTTTATCTCCAAGTGAAAGGACCACTTGTTCACCTCAATGGAAGTGACTGATCCCGTAAAAGGATTGGATTTGGGAATAATCCATGGTGATGCTATTGCTGTTATCAACACTGTAAAACCGAGGAATCCATATATCATGCGTGCTATGAGAATTCCCCCATATGCTGATGCCCCTTCATGCTGATACTCCATTATGTACAACACCACCAGAAATCCAGATACAAAAATGCCTATTTGTGCGGTAGCATAAATCAAAGACCTCTGGGATCTCAGAAAAAGGGAGAGAGAGCCAAGACCAACAACAAAAATAACAGAAGCTACTTGCGAAGATTTCAATGTAAGAGATCCAGCATGTTCAAGCCACTTGGAAACATCAGGCAGATGGGTCCAATTTACACCACCTTGATGCCAACCTCTCAAAATCCGCCCCAAAATAAGCACTAACAAAATGGATAGTATCTTAAGATAACCCCCATTGTCTTTTCGCAAAAATTCATGCTTAGTAGGCTTAAGAGAATCCTTTTTCTCTTGTACAGATGACCTTGAAATTGTTTCTTTGGGAACACGCTGAAATGCTTTGCGGAGAAAAACAAAATACAGTCCTGAGGCCAGAAAATGCCATGTATATTGCTCCTCCTCTACCATAGAACTTGCACTGAGACTTAAAACGTGACCCATGATCCCCATCAAAGCAAAGATCTCGTCTAAATGCCACCAGTTGGTATATGCTTCTCCTTGATAAGAGGTATTCTTTTGCAATACTGGGAATTCTTTGCACAAATTAAGAAGACCCCACAGCAGTATTGCAAAAGATACGAACATTACAGCAATCCCAGAAGCTAACAAATTAACAGGTTTCTGCACAAGAAAGATGATGTTAGTCCCGTCTCAATCCTTCACAATGTAGACCAACAGTATAGTTCATAGCATATCAAAATTCCTAATTTCCAGTGACTTGATCAATAATAGCATAGTTCATAGAATTAAATGAAACTAGAAGTAGGGAACTTTACTTCTGTGGTTTTTCTCGATAACCAATCTGAGGCAGTTTCCAAAAATTGATAATAGGCTTCTACTGTCATCTCAAGGCTAATCATTCCATCTGATCTGCAAAATATAGTGAACAAATCAAAGATGCATTTGTATTCAAATTTTTCAAATGCTGAATTCATTTTTACTTATCCGTGAAAAAGAAGTGTCTGTCAAGATAGATTAGAAAATTACATGACGCTTGAATTTTTCTGTAATTTCCAGGAATAATGAAAAGAGGAAGCTTTTGATAATAAACAACATAGTTTCTCTTCAATGCTTCCATTACACTTCCTGTCTTCCAGCCCTTCATGATTGGCATCACGACTCATAGAATTCCTACAAGAAAATCCAGGTACATGCGCTTTCAGTAGTCTTAGTAATTGCCATGAATTCAACTCCAATGCTCGTAAGCAATGCCGATCTGTGAACAAGAAAACAAAAAGGTTATAGCCATGCAACAAATAACTAGAAAGGAACATAAAAATTAATAAGCATTTAACATATCCTAAAGGAATATCATAGAAACAAGATATACTAAAAATTTTAGACACAATGACAAGGTTGATTGTCTCCAAGCCAAATTAATATAACACTTAAACAAGTTAGATTCCCAGTCATACATAGCTTCTGAGAAGCTGCATAGAAAAAGTTAGATTCCCAGTCAATTAATTGAAGCTCAAACTTTTTACATTTTAATTTCCATTTTTCATGAATAGATAGGATGCCTTAAATCTTGATCGATGACTCAGACGAAAAAAAAATAGTACAAAAATTTGGTTAATTATTTTAATATTAATATTTTTTTTAATTGCATTGGGGAAATAAAAGAATTGCAAAAATGATAACCCTTGGAAAGTTAGGAAAACAAAATTGAATTCTTTTTATGAAAATGATTTTATGCATAATAGTTTCTTATTTTCACTTTTATTTTTTTCCAACAATTCAGTTTGTGAACATGAGTCAACTTGTCAAGGACTAGCCCGAGTCTCAAGCAAGTCATAGTTTGAAAATTGTGGAAAGGCACTCAAGACCAGCTTTGATTGATTCCATTAGCTCTCAGAATGCCAGTTCACCAAATATTCCAAGTTATTTTGGACCATTATAATCATATAAAGCCACATCAACAACACACATAATGCTCACAATCAGATCAAACACTTCTAAATTTAAGACGCCAACCAAAATTCATGGTTTTGGCATCATCACTTAGCATTCATTCAGAAAAATATCATTTTCCATGGTTTTGGCACCACCACTTGGTACTCATTCACCATGGTTTTAATTTTTTTCCTCTGTAACACTTCAGATCCAAAGAGACTGCTAGCAGTGTCCTAAAATCTTCAACCTTATTATACTTCCAAAGCTGGATTTTGGGCAACTTTATTGTCATGTAGTTTCTCCCCCCAAAAAAAAAAAGAGGGAAAAAAGGAAGACAAAGGCAATTCTTTTGGGACCACTATCCTAGGATGCTCTGTTAAACAACCCTTCTTGGAGTTCAAAAAGTCTTCAAAGGTAGGCATTTCAATCGAATATCTATAAAAGATACTTCTGAATTAACAGATTATATTGGACAATAGAAGCTTATTAAACAAATTTAATTTCATATGCTCTCAAGCATGATATGACTTTCACAGCCATTCCCAAGGTTCAGAACTATGGCGCCGTGAACCAACACCACACATAAGATTTCATTCAAAGAAGTTCAAGTTCAGAATACAAGGAACTCAAGGAAAGCAATTGAAGAACTAAGTTAATCAGGTAAATGCAACTGCTGTTCATGAGCAAGTAAATCTAAATCGGAATGAGATGTGTCCAATAGCTTTTGTGGTGATGTGCAGATTATAGTATCAAATGTCAGCAGATCTCAACATCCAGAGAAAAGTGTAGGGACCTGTTAATGAATCAAAGATTCCACGGATCAGGATGCCAACATTATTCTTTGGAATAGGCACACCAAGTAGAAGGGCTAATGTTGGGGCCATGTCTACCTGGAAAACAAAACCATAGTAAATTGTGAACACTTACGCACACACCCACAACCATACAAAACAACGAATTGAATTGGAATAAGCACTGCACTTATAAAAAGGAGAAAAGGACATCAACACATACTAGGAATCAAGAAATAGCTTAAATAAATGGGGTTCATCTTACTTGGGAAATTGAGTTATAAGAGAGAGACGCATAATCTGGGACCTTACAGTCCAGACCAATAAATAGAGACATGGAATCAGTCTCTTCATCTGAGGATCCTCCATGGTTCCCACCATCAGTCATGCCATGATCACTGACTACCATCTGGAACACAAGTAAAGAAGTAAGCTTTCTGGTTCCTTTGGATAAATCATTTCGAAGTGTCATTAAATATAATGCAGTTTGAAATCAACAACTAATAATAAATAATGACCTTTGTGTAATATGAGTCAATGTACTCACGATCATGAACACGAGAAATAGTAATAACATCTCTTAGAAGGTAGTGCTGCTAGCATACTTTTAACAAACTCAGGTTCTTGAAGGTTTACTTCCCCATGTTGAGCACTCCCTAGGAGAGTGAGAACTGGTGCACACCTGGACAATACCCTCAAAACGGTGGGTTTCCATTGGTATTATACCTAGTTCTACATAATGTCATCATTACATTATTTTTAACCTAAACATTCTTGGAATGCATTTTACGAGCTCTAAAAGGGTACATTTGCTCCTATTATCCCCAGAAAACTATGACCTAGAATATTTATATTTGATCTTGGACACAAGCATTGGAAACCCAAATCAGGTTCATGGGGTGTTTATCGACCACATTTCAGCCCTTCGATGAACAGAGCGAAAGAGCCATGTACTTTTTGTGGAGGGTTTGTGGCGTTTCTTTACAATAAAAAGCATGCAATGATTGGGAATGGGTGGGGGCATTGGTGATTAGGGGGGCAGGTGCCTCAACATAATGTTCTGGGCTCCATTTCCACTGTTAACACTTAAAGGGAAAAAAAAGAAGGAAACATGTGATAATTCATTTTGCAGTGATTACCCTAGACTATGATGAAGTGATCAACAACTTATCCGACAGATGCTATCCACGTTAAGTTTCCTTGATCCTGCAATTTGTAAGCATTTGATCACATTACTTGGTCAACATGCAGTAACTCTGCAAATTAAACAGATGCTCTTCACACATTAAGGCCACTGTTATATAAGGAACACTTCAGTATGCTTTTCTACCATAGCTGCATTATGATGACACCGTAATTCATAAGGTCGTATCTCTTAAGACTGCAATGTATTAGAAGTCCAAAAAGGAAGCGGACAAACTAAAGATAGATCATGCATAAATGGTCCTTTTTTTTGCAAGTAACAGCTATTAAAACATGTCTTTTACAGAGGAAAAAGAACAAAAATGTCAAGTTGGCATCTCGCTAGCCTTACTCAGAAACAACTCATCACAGTGAACATCATTATTGGCAAATGGATTAAACAGCAGCATTAACCTCTCCAAAAAGATGACAAAAATAGATGCACAGGAAGACAAAAAATTGGAAGTCTCACAAAAATTATCAAGCAACAGCCAAGGAATTGACACCTCCTTGCATGCCAATCTAAGGACATTGAAATAGTCATCCTCTACAATGAGTAGGATAGGCTGCTCAGAACATCTATGATTACAAGATAATGAATCCTACATTAGAAATATGCCACAAAGATTAAAGGAGCACAAACCAAAAGGGTTCGTTTGTTACACTTGTGGTGATGGATAATTGCCATATCAAGCTTCTCGATAACCTCATCCATCTCCTTCAGTTTCGGCACCATCAATGGGCTGAAAATCGACAAAAATAGGTCAAGTTCAGATTCTGTAATCGTCTATAATGTAGTAGTGAGATTCTAGAAGAATAAACAAATCAAATCATTTAAAACTAGATACCTATGACGCCCACCAATATGACCCACATGGTCCAGCCCAAGATAGTGGAGAATCTAGAAACAAAATATGGGTTGTCATCCAATGATATAAGAGAAAACGTAAAGGAGGTTACCAGAGCAATCAAGAAGAAGCACATACTAAATAAACAAATGAGAAGAAAAGCACTTAATTGTATGAATAAAAAATTGGAGCTTTTACACTTTAAAAAATTACTGAGTGAAGCTCTATGTCATGAAGGAACTCCTTAACATTTGAGATTTTTTTAATAAGCATGTCATAAATAAAATCAATGTTTAAAAAAACGCCGAGTCGAACCGGACTCGGGAATCGCCATGGACGGATCGTATCGGCGAAAAAAACGAGAATCGTCCGGTTCTAGAGAGAACCGGACGATTCTGCACAGTGACTCGTCGATTCATTGTACGGAATCGGCGAGTCCCGTACAGAATTTTTTTTTTTTTGTAATCCATGATAGATTTTTTTGTAATACTTGATCAACTTTTTTGTAATCCATGATCGAATTGTTTTTTTTTTTTTGTAATCCATAATCGAATTTTTTGTTTTTTTGTAATCCATGATAGAATTTTTGTAATCCATGATCGAATTTTTTGTTTTTTTTTTTTTTGTTAACCCATGATAGAATTTTTTGTAATCGATGATCGAATGTTTTGTAATCCATGATCGAAATGTTTGCTTTTTTTTGTTAATCCATGATCAAAATTGTTTTTTTTTTTA